TTCCACGCACCCTGATATTTCCTCGAAATCTAAAATGAATTATCAAGAATACAAAGTACCCCTCGCTGAAACTTAAAATTAAAATATGCATTAATAATGCATATGCATAGCATTAAGTACGGCATAAAAAGAAGCAAAGCACGTCCAAGTTACAGTACACGTCAACTTCAGTCAAAGAGAGACGAGCAACACCAAGAAGAAAATTGACGGAGTAAACCAAACAAAGCTGAGCCCAGAAGCTAACAACTATGCTCGTTGTAAGTGAACAGACACTGTTTAAGTTTAGGTGTAGCCTAGTTATAATTGCATGCATCACAAAAACAATTGAAACAGGTTTCTAGAACTGATCTATATTGTTCATTTAAATTTTTCGTGTATCTGGATTTTACTGAATATTGTCATCTTTATGATGATTGACTTTCAACTGCATCTTTATTTCTAAAATTTGATTATTGTATGTCGGCAAAATTACACAGAAAGAATCTAGAGGGTGTCTCCCGTTTTTCCTAACATAGCATCATCTTGTTGGCAACAGTTTTTATTAAAGTAAAAATTTTGAAACTAGAAGTTAAATGAAATTTTATGAGTTGACTAAGGGCTTCAATTCGTGTTTTTCAGTGATTAGAAGAAATTAATAAAAGTAATTAATGACGATCTCTATGTATTTTGTTCGTTCTTTGTAGAAACCAGCCTTCCTATTCCTACTGCTTGTTGTTACAGCAAACTGGACATCAGCAAGTCCCTTCGGTTTCCCTCGCTCCCCTTCTGGGAAGGTAAATTGTTTCCTCTCAATCCAATAATTAGCAACAAAAGGCTCAGAAGTAATTTATCTTGCATGCCATAAAGAGCTTGCGTTTTTTTTTCCTTTTCTGTCTTTTACCGTCACTTTCTGATTACTTCTCGCTCGTATAATTTCTGGAAATAACCAAAACGTTTCAAAACTAATTATTGAAATAACTGGATTTAAAATTTAAGCTTCACTGCATTTATAGATGCATCTTTCATAAGATGTAAATCTCTTTGCTTGCCACAATGTTCAATGTGTAATTAAACTTGCCTTAGACCGTTGCCTGATCGCGATTCCTGTCGTCCTTGCTAGCTACATTCTTCGTAAATATTATTACGACTTATCTCAACAAACCTGTCAAAATTCAAAGAT